AGAAATCACATCACGAATAGCTAGAGCAGCTTTCGCCAACCTGCGACACCTGTGACGCCGCCATGACATCCGACTGTTCCTTAAGGGTTTGCCTGTCGAAATCCCATGCCCCATAAGAAAAAAAGACAAACTAACTCAAAAGAAATTTCAAAAAGTGTACGGTGAAACACAAAACAATTACCATCCCATTTATTTGTTATTTCCCACTGTAACAGTTCCGTTTTTTTCCTATGTTCTGTATCGCAAACTCCCCCTCCTGTGATTCTTTTGGTTATTATTTTGGCCTTGACACCATGCTTGTCCGCAGGACGAGACTGCACATTGACGTGGTGTGATGGCTTGTGCACCTCTGTGACCCAACGAGCTATCCAGGATGGCTTTTGTCAAGCCAGGAGATCTAATCACGCCTGGAAGGTCAACGGGTAGAGGTCAGACGAAGTTCAGTCTCCCGATCCTCCAGGTTGGGGGTTCGACTGGAATTCACGTTTCAGTCGGTAAAAAATGGTGGAGGAATAATCGATCCAAGTGAATAGGCCTTCACTTCGCTTCACCCGCTGCCTGGCGGTTAGGTTCTTGTTAGAACTAAAGGCTTTGGTTGAGAACCCTAATCGCTCTCCTGCTTAGTGGCTGGACACCCTAGCAGTACCCGTCCGTCAAACCCCACATACACAAAATAAAAATGATTTCATACTGCATTGGTCGTTGCGCAGGATAATCAGGACCGCGCTGCCCATTGCATCGAGCGGGCCGGATAGTGATAAGTGGGCTACTGCTCAGATATCCCAACATTTGTTTAACTCTTTGTCGTCCGTTCCTCTCCCTTTACCCCTTCTTCCGGCCTGTAATGGTCCCTCAAGCAACTTGGAAGTCGCTCGCCAAAGGTCGTTGCCAAATAGCACTGTAAGCAATGTATCTCGAAATGAATTGCAGATTCTAAAGCCTCTTCAACTACTGAATCTGGGAGCCTTCACTGATGCAGGTGGATCAACAAGCTTGTCTGGCGCGTACAATGGAATCCTTGGGGTCGATATTTGCTGCGTGTCGGAGACTTGTATCCAGGATCCTACTACTAGAAGCCACTTGAGCGCGCCAGATTTATCTTTCAGATATCTTCTTTGTACATCAGGCGACGACGAATCCCGCTCAGTGGGTCAGCGCGGGGTAGGTATTGTACTTGGCAACAAGGCGGAGCCCTCTCTTATCGATTGGATCCTAGTCATGTATATGCAGTGCGTCTCCAGGGTTCAATCAGCATCCGGAAGGGAAGCAACACCAAAAGGTGTTTGTCCATCGTATCAGCATATGCACCGACCAATTGCAGTTCTGATACCCAAAAGGACGCCTACGTCGAACTCATCGATCTCATTCGGATGAGTCGAAGCACCGACATAGTTGTACTTGCAAATGACTTCAACGCGCAGGTTGGAAAACTAGACGCATCAGAAGTTTGACTAGGCGGTAAAAGAGCAGAATGAAGATAGGAATGTTGAGAGCAAATTCAAGCGGAAGATAAAGAATTCATTTAGAGAACAATGGTTGGATCACTGGGCGGATTGCATCAGCGAACAGTTTGGCTGACCTGGAGCTAGCCAGATTACCTCGTCTGCAACCGAAGCTTCGTGGGTGGTGTCCAATCGTTCTTTTATTCCATATTTGTGTAACGAATCATAAGTTTTCGAAGCAGGCGTCCAAGTATTGACGACTGTTTCTTTTATCCTGTACTGACAAAATCATCATCACCGTTGTACAGCGTAATACAGTGAAGCGAACTTCACTGATCGCTGCCAAACTCATTAAATACAGGGTGAGTGAGAGTGTGTAAGGAGGGCAGGAATTGGACTTACTTTTAGGGACGGGAAAAGAAAGCGAAACTCTATGGTCAACACAGAGTACACAGTCCACCTATTTCAAGCATTCTGGTATAATTAAAAGTGATAGCCACATCACCACTGCTGTTTGGTTCGCCGCCATGGTCTTCGGTGTCTCCAACCATGCGGTTACGGAGTCTTTTAGACCCCAGCCTTGAAGAGGAGAGAGACCTCTACCTATTCGCTTTGTGAAACGGTTTATCGTTTGGTTGTATTCAATTACCATTCGTTTCTTATCTCTCGTTAGTCGTTACAAGAACCTGTGTCCGCCAAGGAGATGTGGAAAGCTCTCTGATCCTGTTTGACAATAATTGTTTAACTTCGGCTGCATTGAGGGTACATACAGAGAAAGGTGGACGATTGCCATTGAAGGGAATGATTACATTCTGATGTTGGCTGAGGAAATCTAGACCGAGAATGACGTCGGTGCACCTTACTTTAATGTGTTTTCGTACTGAATAGAGGCGTACACGTGCCCCTGGATAACAAGACAGATGGGTGGAAGTCATTGATATGGTGTTTAGATGACTACAGACCATCGGTGTTTAGCAGCAATGTTGGTGCAACTGTCTGTATCGATTAGCGCGCTCAGAGTTATTCCATTGACTTAAATCGTTATTGTGAAGTCGGAGAGACCGATGAATGATTCTCCTGCAACAACGGACGATGTAGTTGGTTCTAACACAGACAATGTACGTCTGAGGTGAGTGTTGGAATTGGATCAACAGACCTTTTGGAAATACCCTTTCCACAAGTATTATATGTGGCTTCTCGAGCTGGACATTTTGAACGAGGATGTCGATAACTTCCGCAGAAAATGCACTTAGTGGAAACCACTACAACTGCGTCTTTCGTCTCTGTTTGTGAATCGGAAACTCCAGGACGTTGTTGTGAAATGGCGGAATGTGTCTGGTTAGTCATGGAACTATAGAGTACACGTAAGACTGAATCGTAAGTGAGCGACTGATGTTGTGCATCCTCCAAAGTACGGCCTCGTTAAAAGCACACTGTAAACTTAGGGTTTGCTTTTCGAGAAGCTTATGGCAAATATCATTGACAAGCAACTCCGTAATGAAATCATCACAGATAGCTTCAGGGCGATGTCCCTCGGCGGAAACTGCGACGAAGTTACAATCCGTTGTGAGAAATCTGAATTTTCGCGTAAACTTATCAATAGATTGTTCTTGTTTTGCTGTTGCGAGTAGATGTCGTGCGAACACTTTGTTCTTTGATCTAACGTAAAGCCCCTCAAGAGTTTTGATAGCGTAATTGGGACAATCGATTGTGTTGGTAAAAGGACGGCAATATGAAATTCACCAGCAACTTCTTATCAATGTTAAGTGGATCGACAGTATATATGGAGTTACCTAATGTTTTATACCAATGAGTTCACTGTTCGGAAGTGGATGAACAATGAGGTTCGGTATCAAATCGCCCCGGGCGAAATAAGCGATTCATCGTTGTTAGAAGATTACATTTTGATGAGCTCGAATGATTAAGCGATGAACAATATAGAGAAAACGGAGAGCCGGAAACGAGGCTTTAATCTTCTAACACTGTGGGTACATCGGCTACAATAGAATGATAAAAAATCTACATTATGAGTAAACTGTGATACCGTGGTATAAAGATCGAAAGTATAACAAAACCACAAAAGTGTTCTCTAGTATTTCGTCTGTGACGAAATTGAACAGGATTGGCGAAAGAGGGCATCCTTGATGAACATCGTTGCTAGTTGCAACGATCTACTCAGCTCGCCGTAAACCCTTACGCTACCAGAAGCATACAAGTACAGTGAACTCATTATGTTCACGTACTTCTGTGGCATTCCTTTGTGAAGGAGTGAACCCATAAGGTTTTCACGATCAGCTGAGTCGAAGGCTCCTTTTAGGTCAAGGAGCCGTTGGTTGACGGTGCGTATGGCGTAGCTCAAGGAACTGCCACAGAGTAAAGATTTGATCAACACAACCGCGGCCTGGTCGAAATCCTGCTTGTCGTTCGCGGATATTTGTTCCCATAAACGGTGTCAGACGTCGAATTATGATGGAGGCTAGTAACTTGGTGGCGATTGGAATCAAACTTACTCCACGGTGGTTTGCGCAGTCGTTGCGAGATCCCTTCTGAAAAATTGGAACAGTCAGTGGTTCGCTCCAGGATGATGGAATGCGCTCGTGAGACCAGATGCTACGCAATAAATTAATAACGGAGTCTACGAGGTCATCACTACAAATATGATAAGAAAAATGGAAAAATAAACTGAAAAACGAAATAACAGTCCTGCGGGTAGGTCTAATACTTCTTTGCGGTGCTAAATGAACAAAACGTCTTTCTAATAGAATTGTTCTGAATTTGGAATAAAGTTTTCAACGAATTCAGGTTTTCGTTTATCGCTGAAAAAACTGACACTGTTGAAAAATGGCTCTTGACATGGTCACATTCCATGCAGTTTCATAGGTAGGCGTGTAGAAATAGTTTTTGTTCCAAATTACTCTCGCAAACAAATTATTTCAATTAAATTGTTTTAATACGGGAGGGTAGTGTTATGAGAGGATGCACGTGAAACTCGAACAAGAAAGGCCTAAACGTTAGGCTTTATTCGACATGCAGCGTAATTATGGAAGCTGAAAAAGGGAGAAGAGATATAAGCCAGAAAAGCGCGATACAAAGTACTATGTCAGGGAGCAATACCTTATCTGTTCTAGAACAAGTAAAGTCAAATCATTCACATGTGAACAAATGAGTAGTGGATGAGATAAAAATCTAAGTCTTGGAGGATCTCAGATTGAGACACGAAAGTTGCGTCAGTTTTTTCATTCTTTTTAGTCTTGTTTTTTGCACTGCTTATTACAGGATGTAGCGTATTTTTCGCATTTACGGCCCTAGTGATAGGGTTGAGTGTTACCGATCTCCGGTTATTCCGATATGAGTCAAATACCATTGCACTGTTTCCTTTTCAGCTCTGCCTTCCAAATTTCCCAACGTTTTGACAAACCGTTATCACGCACGCGATGACAAGTCTTTCTAGTCATCGAAGTCACTCGGGGGCGAGTAGCCGTGGTAGTAGTCCTCATCGGGGTAGCAGGAGCCGTACCCGGAGTGTTAGTCACAGTCGACACAGTCCCGGATCGGATTATGCACGGAGCGGTTCACACAGTTCCGATCGTTCCCGCTCACGCACTCATTCGCGTTCTCGTTCACCGACACGTTCACACTACTCCCGATCCGGTTCCCGCAGTCCTCGATCCGGATCAAAACACACACGATCACGATCCCACTCTCATTCTTGGTCGCGCTCTCGCTCTCGCTCAATGTCTCGCTCGGGTGACCGTCGAAGCTATTTCTCACACTCACGGTCACGTTCGCGCACGCGCTCCCGCTCGTCTTCATCCTATCGGAAAGGGCGTCGGCGTACCTATCCGCATAGCAGTTCCCGGAGTCGTTCCCCAGGGTCATCGGGTCGCTCGCGTTCCCACTCTCGCTCGTCACCACGTTCGCCGATTGTTGGTGGCGGGGGCGGGAGCAAATATCCTCGTGATCGTTCGAAGCGTGTTAAATGGAACAACGCGGTATGCTTCTTTTACAGATTCATTTGATCGTTTGTGACGTCAATCGATGCACGACAAGTTTGAAATTTATATAGCATTATTTCCGTGCTCATGTTGATTTTATACTCAATAAGCATTGATTGGCATCTTCCTGATATCAGCTTAGATGACCGGTCCTCCTTTTACTGTTTTACTGTTTCTGTCTTCACTAGACTCATCTGAAGCAAAAACGAGGTATATATATACCTACATAAATATATCGCAGTAGTCCACCCCGGAGTTACAGTGAAAAATATAACATCTAGTAGCCAGTAAGTTAGTTAAGATCAAGTTCTGATATCTTGGTGAAATACTGCTAATTATTTCTCTCTGTATCGGAATACCATTCTTAAGCACCTGTTCAAATGTGCCTTTCAATGTCACAATGATTTAGACAATCACACTTGTTTCAAAAGAAACGGCAAAATTTGAGGGAGCACCCTGTTTCGATGGGCTTTTCCCACCGAATTATTTTGAGGGCCTATGTTCATGTCAACACTCACCTGAGTATGATGCCCGCTTAATCGATCATCCTTACATGACTCGTTTTCTCACCGGACTCACCGAGGTCAGTCAGCACTGGTTTTGTTCATTCTTGTCTAAAGCTCATTCAATCAACACTCAAGAGCATAACGTTCCCGGAGGATGGGGGCGGGGGGGGGGGACGGGCAGACAGAGGAATGAACGGTGGGACCCCAACCCCGCAAAATGTTTGTCCTCACCCGGTAACTCACTCAAAAAGTACTTGCGTTTGATGGATAGATTTAGTGCAGACGTGGTTCATTAGGTAACGTGGTGACCGAAGCACCAATCACATTGTGGGGATCCCAGTAGAGTACGATTGACAAATTCATTTGTAGTTCCAACGGATTCACTAGAGGTTGAAATGGTGTGGATTGGAGGTGACGGTTACAAAACAAGAGGCTGATTCCTTCACGACCGATCATTAAACTAACAACGGTTCATATTGTAAATGAGTGTTTCGTTTAGCGCACATGGACACACATGTGAAGGCATCTGTAGAGTGACTAATGACGTGTAAGATTGTTGTGCTGCTTCATTGCTCTTTCTCAAGCAGCACATCTCACAATCAGGCAAAGATTGTCCGGTTCATCATTTACCAAATTGTCAAACAGATTGGCCTGGTTCATTGAAGTGTGAAATAGTCCTTTGAAACGGAATTAATCAGTTTGGGTTGATTGATGGGCGACATTACGCTTAGCCCCCAACGGGCATAGTAGACAAATCCATGTGATTAATGCTGGCTGGGAAAAACATCCTAACAACGCGAATCCCATCAGTATTGACTGTCTGAAGCAAACACCGAAACAAAGGAAGACCGTGTGTGTACCAAAGCTGGGTTAAGCTTATGCGAAATAAAAGCAGTCAGATCATGTGATAAGCGTTCACACTTACCAAGAGTGAGCTTGTCGCAACCCCAGTCCATTCCGAATAGACCTGTTTATCTATAAACCAACAAAAGTGCTTTGTGAGTGGGTTTTAATAGAGTCTAACTGTTTTTCACCGAGACAGTTGTCTTGGACCATCGATCAAGTAAGCTTTTTGCGAGAATGAACGACTGATCTCAGTCGGTTGGGTAAGAAGACGAGTTGCACAGAACGGATTTCTGTGCCGGTCATCACACTCAGACGTAAATGCAGACGTAAACTACTAAGTTCGCGGATTGGGATTTTTCTACTGGTTCTACAGCTGGCTGTTTACCCAACAGAGGTTGTGCCGGGACGTTATTTTCTTTGATCACTCAATGTTCTACGTGGCTTATGTCCAGAGTTTCCAACAATAAGAGAGCTGGCTCACAGGGAACACCATTTGCCTTCGATGATCTGGACCTGTTTAGAGGAAGATGAATGTTTAGTGCAAGGTCCATCGCTCCCGTGCAGTCCGCTGTTTTTACTCCGAAAAATAAATTTCCCGCATTTGGAAATGTCTCACAAAAGACACTGCACCCGTACCTCGTTAATTTACCCATGGCTTGGGGTTTGTCCTTTGGTCAATTGTTCGGCGTGCTTTCTTTCTACTTGTGAGTGGTGCACCGGTCTCGATTCTCAGCAGGGTTGACCTTTCGCCGTCTCCAGTGGAGTTCGACAAGGTTGCCCTATATCCCCATTCCTTTTCACCTTTGTCATAAGGGATGTTCTGCAGAACGCTTTGTCCGGTCTAGCAGACGGAGGAGTCAAACTCCTCCCAGAGAACAGAGTTCTTGACTTAGAATATGCCGATGATATCGCCTTGCTGGGTGACAACACACATACCGTCCAAGACACTGAACCGCTTGGCGATCGAGGTACCCAGCTATGGCAAGTGCTTTGCACCTTCCAAGTGCAAAGTGCGTGTTCAAGACTGGCAGGAGCCTGTGTCTGCACTCACCCTCTGGTGATCAACTGGAAGTATTTGAGAGCTTTCAGTACCTCGGGAGCTTAATCACAGCTTGAGGTGGGGTTGGGGAAGAAATCACATCACGAATAGCTAGAGCAGCTTTCGCCAACCTGCGACACCTGTGACGCCGCCATGACATCCGACTGTTCCTTAAGGGAAGGGTGTACCTCACTGCGGTCCGCAGTGTTCTGCTTTACGGCTGCGAGACCTGGCCTTTCCGAGTGGAAGATGTTCATCGACTTTGCATTCGACCACCGATGCCTTAGAAGCATCGCTTGTGTCTGGTGGGAACATCGGGTGAGCAATGACGAGGTCCGTCGTTGTGTTGTGTGTGGATGGTCGTCCTCCAACAGAAGTACTAGCTCTACACCGCCTCCGATGGCTTGGTCACGTATTGCGTATGCCTGCCCATCGACTACCTTTCCGTGCTCTCTTCGCACGTGCCGGGCAAGGCTGGAAGAAGCGACGCGGTGGTCAGACCATGACATGGGCTAGAGGCATGAAGA